GCTCTGGCAGGGCCGGTGCCAAGCGCACGTGGAGCCGGCGGTGACAGCGCGGGAGCAGCACGGATGGTCCCGCTGCAACCCTGCCCCAGCTGTACGGGGCTATAAAAATGCTGCTGCATTCAGAGACCAGTTGCAATTATTGGTGCCCTTAGGCAAATAAAGGCAAATTTACCACAAAGGGAATAAGCACCTACAAAAATTCATGCTATTAAACCTGGTTTTTTAGCCTTTCATTTCTAATCAAGATTCCAAATGTGATAGTAAGTATTTATTCGGCAAACATTCCTGCAGAAAAACCTAAAGGTCATGCCAGGTTAATTTGTAACTGGGATAGTCAGGAATGACAAGAACTGCTGCAGCTTGAAATCATTAAGATATTGGGCTACTTTTAGAATGTTATTTTCCCCCATCATTTCCGTAAGTCCTCGCCTGTCTTTTCATCAAGTTTGAGTGAAGATGTTTTCTTCAGAGGACAGTTACTGGAGAAGGCAGAAAAATAATCCCAACTCGCTAGATAACAACACACACCCCTAGGAGGAGATTAAAGGAACCATCTCGGGTTTATCTTTGGAAAATGCCACATCAGAAGACACAATCTTCCGGTTTAAATTCTTGTTTTTAAACCTGCACAGATAAGCTGAGACAGCAGAAACGAGGAGATAATCATGAAGTTTCCTTGAGCAATGATAAATAAATCCTCCACTTTTTCCTTCCGAGATGTGGCTCTTGGCTCTTTTCCCTTTCTCCAGGACACATCGCCAGGGCTCCATCCCAGCAGGCACTCAGAGGTGTGAGGTTCAGCTGGGCTCAGTTCTCGTGAAAATGGGAATTGGAAGAAAGGTTGAACTGTATTTTCTTATGTGATCATAAAACATAAAGCCTGAAGCTGGCTCAACCCACAGCCTTTGGGCACAGCTTTCAACATAACACACTTTTACATGTTTGATGCATCACTGCATGAATGTACGCCAATAAAACACAATGGGTCAGCTGCAGAGACAGAAATTAAGCACCAATTTTGTGCCTTGGATTAATGCTTTTGCAGGCACCAAACTCGCCCAGAGCTGGTGACCAGACCAGAAGACAACATTCACTTGCAAATACAGTGTTTTCCATTCAGACTTGTGCCAGTTCCTGTTGTGTAAGAGGGACTGGGTGCTACAGAACTAACTGCAAATTAAAACATATATATATAATGTGCTTTTTTAAGGGTGATGGTGTGATTACACTCAGGCATGAAAATGAAGGGCTCAGTTACAAAAAAGTCCATCTGAACTGTGCTGTGCATCAACTTAGTGAAAGGCTCCAGCAGAGATTCAAAGATTTCACAAGCCAAAACCACACAACTACTGTACGCGTTAGCCAAAGTACTTCTCCTAAGTATCAATGCTTTTAAAGCAGCTTGATCAAAGCTTGATCAAAACAACCACATTAAGACAAAAGTTTTGCTGTCAAGTCAGGAAGCCCGTACAAGCATCTCAGGCTGGGAAGTTGGTTTTTCTCCCTAGTTGCTCCTACTCACTCAGAACAATCACAACACCCCAAGGGCAAAGTTTGCTGCTACTCACCTCCTCCTTGGTGGAGAAAACACCGTAAGGGAGATTTTGGAGAGGAAAATCCGAGTCCTTGTCTACCTGGATGAAAGACATGCTGAACACCAAGTGGCCCCTGCTCACGGAGGAGACCCCTACCTTCCGGCCTGCTACAGGCTTTCCTAGGAGGAAGATCCTCTCCAGATGTTGCAACATGAAGCACCAAACTCCACCCTCAATCCTCAGCCCCAAACCAATCCCTGATCCGTCTCCATCCCACCCCTCTGCCTGCTCCCTCTGGCAGCAGTTAATCAGTGCCAGAGGCTTTCCTGAGTCACCAGTCATTAACTGTTCCCAGCAAGGTAGGGAGAAACAGCCTCTTCCTCCTTTATAAACCCTCACATGGAGCTGAGGCCTTCTTTTACCAGGCACATCACTGCAGACAGCTCTAAGGCCAGAGGTAACTCCGCTCATCCACACGGAGTGGTCGCTTACATGCCAGAATGATGGTGATTTTGCCCACGGGGAGCAGCTCTTCCACCAGGTGCTCCACAACCCTTGGGAAGTTGCACAACTCGCACCTGAACCTGCACTTTGTGTGCTTTTTAGTTTTGAAATACTGCACCCGAGTCCTTCCATTTTCTCCAGGTAGTTCCAGCAGCTCAAAATCAGAGGTATCCATGCAACTAACCCCAAAGAGCAGGGAGTTTGGTCTGTTCCCAGCCCCAGCTTACCCCCCCCTGCAGGAGGAAATTCACTCATGTTCAGGAAAAATAGAAACCAACGAAGATATATCCTTGAAATGAGAACTGAATAGTGAAAACCACCCCTTTTCAATAAAAAGTCAGATGCCAGTGCCTGCCAAGCCAAAGAACTGGTTTCCTGCTCAACTTCTTTTGGCACAGAAGATTCGTTAGAAGAAATGCAGCAAGCTGTACAAGCAGATATTCAGTGTAAGATGACACAACAGCAGTGATGACAGCCCATCTGTGACAGCTCTTGTGGAGACACAAGTGCATGTGATGCTGTTTGAAAGGGGCTTATTTAAAAAACACAATGCCTAGCACAAACTTCTGTGTAATTCCTGTACCTATGGTACAACTCCATTCCACTGACTGCTAGAAATGTTTTTAAACACAGTGAAGACGTGCTTATTCCAAAAATGAAACAAAATCATCTTGAAAACATGTTTAAAATACACACTATGCATCTCAATAAGACAGCGTTCGTCAAGCCCTCTGCTGCAGTGTTGTAAATGTGCTGGTATTAATTAAGATGTTAAGCTGCTAACCTCAAGCTGATGACACAAAATACAAAGCTTCACTAGTTACCTCGGTTGAGCAGCAGATCAACCACCACGGTAACACAGAGCCAATGCCAAAGCAAATAAAGGGGACACACAATTCTGAAGTGAGGGAAAGATGTGTTTCCCCTTCTGAATGCAAGCTTATATATGAGGGCCACACACTCAGCACAAGCCAGGCCAAAGAAGGTTTATTAGATTGCTTTGAGAGTGACAGGTCTGGAAAGAGAATTGCCTGATGCTGATCTGCCTCACTGTTAGTACTGCCAAGGCGCTGCAAGGCAAGTTTCCTCTTAACTCTGCACAGTTATGCTTCCTACTGTATAATTGAGGCCCATAAAGTTGTTGGTTCATAATGCGAAGGGAGCATGTGAAGTCCAAAGGCAGTTGCTTTTCTTGTACCTTTTCTTCTTTCAATCCCTCAGATACCAGAAAATACACACAAGATGGGCTCCCCCTATTGTGAATTCTACAGTCTCCGCTTGGCCCAGAAGTACCACTGTCAGATGAAAGGCAGACTGGAAAGGAGGGCATGTAGGGGAGAGAAAAGAACACTTAGGAAGAAAGAGACTAGAAAGAGGGAAGAGGAAGGAGTCAAACTGAGAAGGATTAGAGAAGAGGGAAGTAGCAGCAAAGAGGAAAGCGAACTGAGAAATACCCACAAAAGACAATGCTGCTGCTCACCCATGCTCTGTGCTGTGTAAGAGGAAGTTCAGCAAATGCTGAGGAAATAGAGGATCTTTGACCCATGAAGAGGCAGACTATTACTGAAACTTGATGGAAAAAAGTTATTTATTTTCTCCTTTACTATAAAACCAATGTGCTTCATAGATTGTGGTTAAGCCATTTTTGCAAGCACGAGATACTTCATTTATTATTGTGTCTTGCAGATTACTTTCTATAGCGGGCTGATAGAGAAAGCTCCTTCTGCTACAGTGTGTTTATATGCTAAATGTGGTGCTTTATCTACTAATTGCCAGCCATAGCTTTTAAAGAGCATTCCGAATTTTAAAGGATGGAGCCAGCTTTGATTAAAAATTTAATGTTTTAAATAAAGCCATGCAATCTCATTTATTTCACAAATGCTTCAAAGCAGCGGCAAGTCACCAAGTGAAATTTCAACTGCAGATCAGTACCATCTGGAGAGGAATTGGCTCTGCTTCAGTGTACCGTTACGTGTGGTGATAAGCAGCACTGGCTGGCACTACAAAACCACTCAACCTTTAAGTTATAGAGATGACCAGGGTGGTTGAAGGGTTCAGGCACAGACTCGTCATGTAACAGGCAGTCTGGAAGACAGAAACTTACTGAGCACCCTCACGAGAGGGTAAAAGAAAATTCCTCCTACCCCCAGATGGGGATCACTTTGAAGCCCGTAGATCCACCAAGAAGCAAGTAGAGGGCACTTGTGGCGGTATCAAAACATTGAAGTCCACGGATTGCAAACCTCAAAAGTAGGGACATGTCACGGGAGAAGCCATCTCAAGAACCATTCTCTCACCTAACTTCAAGGAGGTACAGCACTGTCAGACAGCGGATCACAAACCCCACAGCTCCATTTCCTAGAAGCAGAATCACACTCTTTGATCCATAAGCCCAGTCAAAGGCCACATCTGTTTTACTTGTAGATCTGCCCTGAGCTCCTGCATACAAGTGACACACTGCACAGGAAGCACAGAGAACTCCCTGCGCATGGTGTATCAATGCACAAGGTGGAAAGCTCCTAGAAAGTGTATGTAGTCTCTCTGACATGTTATAGGTTAAAAAAAAAAGTAATCAGAAGTTAGCTGGCATTGGGATATACATGGTCTCTGTGACTAAATACACTGTAAGTAAAGGAACCACCAACAGAAAGTCCCCATGAAAATAAAGGAAGAGACATCCAGTTACATATGCCAGTGACAGCCACGAGGGCTCCAATTTTCTTAAATTTTATTTAATCAAAGTTAAGACGTGGATAAACATAAATACAGCACAGGTACTTCAGATCATTCTTCATATTTGTGTACAGACAGACTGATGGATGTAATCCCAATGAAACCTGCAGTCAGTGAAGTGCATACAGCCTTCCCCCCACACACACACAAACAAAACCCAATTTAAAAAAACAAAAAACAAAACAAAAAAACAAAACAAAAAAAACCAAAACAAAACCAAACCCCCCCCACAATCTCAGCACACACTCTCATTACAAATGATTCATACATAAATAGGTAGAGGGTGCAAACAAGCTAATATGCGAACATGTATAACCTCTCGTTAATGGGGAAAAAAAAAAACCAGAAGCAGCCATAATGATTAAAATACATTCAGTTACTGATAACTAGTTGTGCCATACAAGGCATTATCAAAAAAAGGAAATTGTGCTGCAGAGAAAAGCTATATACAACAAGAAAATAAACTGCAAAGTTAACGCATGCATGTTTTATCCTGGAAAAGCACAGCCCTCCAATGTTCTCTCCGTCTTTGTTATAAAAGCCCTCTGCACTCAACTAAAATTAAAATGATCTTAAAGGATAATACTTGTAAAGTTTACTTAAGTCTTCAGCCACAGAAAACTGCAATGAAAATAAATGTTCAGAGTCATTTTCAAAACAGGAAAAAAAAAAAAACCAAACCCAAAAAAATCTATTCATCTGATGACATGCATGATTAAAAGGTCTAGGCAAGATACACTGCTCTACGTTCCTGATGACTAAGGAAAAAAGCTCAAGTCAATTTAATCTGCAGATGGTCAGAGGATTTTTGTATTCCAGCAGAAGCAGCAGTTCAGATCTTCTGAATCTTTTCCCCAACAACTACAGGATTCTCTTTTCTGATTTTCTCAGCAGCATCAGCTTTGTAATTGTAAGAGCAACTGTGTACGTCTGAATAACGGTGCATACCACAGTAAACGTTTCCACACCGACACTCGAACCCTGTGGACAGAAACATTGGCTTAGACATGTCAACATTCCTAATTATACCAGTTTGTTTTAAATCCTGAATGTGTTCACTCACTAGCAATAAATCTCAGTCACCAGTGTCAATCAGCCAAAGAGCCTCTGCTGCAGAAAGCATAAGAATCACAAATAATACATTTTTAAGTGATCACATTAAGATTTTACTTGACCATTCCTTCCTATCACATGACACTAGCACAAAACATATTCCTAGAGACCTCCTGCTCTTTGTTTATGAACCTTCACCCCACAGAACTCAAGTTTTCTTCGGCCCTTTCCCTGAACCACTGCAAAGCTGGTTAGTGGATAAGAGCAAGCTATCATCCAGTTCCTCAGCTTCCAAAAGGAAGTATCTGGAATTATGAACTTCACCTTCAAGACAGCAAGTTGTAAACCAAAATGATACATGCCTAAATCTAATAAGAGCCAGCTGAGAGCACCTTTGGCCAAGTTCTATTTCAAATCACCATCGAGAAAACCATGCCCCACTTGCCCTTCAGGAAAACCTTTCAAAGGCCCAAAGCCTAAACAAGTGTAAGGAAAGTGGAATCTGTATTTCTTACCAGTGAGTCCAACCTTCTTCCTGCACATGAAGCAACGATTCTTTTTCTGTTTTGGTTTGTCAAGTGTCTTGTCTTGTTCTTCAGGTGTAGGCTCTGCATTCCCTGACACTGAGGCTAACATTAAAAAAAAAAAAAACAAAAAGTCAGTAAGAGCAACGTGAAAACTGTCTGTCTCTCCCCTTCCCCTGTTTAAGTCACAGGATCATCTAAAGCGCCTCTTAAATGTTTAGGTTCTGGGTGATCCATTTTGCTGGAGCTTCCTCAGCTAAGGTGTAATGGATTCTCAGTACAGGTGCATGAACTCCCTCCTTCTAGACCTTCAATAAAAAATTTAAGGAGATAATTCACTGAATTCTCATACAAAGTTCACAATACAAAAAATACCATAAAGAAACAGAATAATAAATACCAGGTTTAAGAATATGACTCAGTGTTGTCAGATTTGGGAAGAGAATCCAACTCCCAAGTGTTTACCCACCAGTGTTACTAGTCCAGTTCCTAAAATCTGCTTGCAAGCTGCACTGTATTTATTAGGATCAGTTGAGTAAAACACTCTGTTTCAAATACTGAATCAACATTATTTTTGCTGGAGGCTGCACTCCTGAGGCCACACAAAATGCAGGGTTTTAGAACAATCTCTGCCACTGTGACACTGCTGCTCTTGTACACTTGCAAAAAGCCTACGCAGAGGCTACTCATGCTGCCTGGGGAAGAGATACCATCAGCTTAAGATACACAGACTTACATGGAGGAAGTACTATCCTGAAACCCAGAAGGAAGCAGGTAGGAACCTTGTTTTAAAGACAGTTTGGCTAAAGACAGCTTTCAACCTACTTTAGTATTCACTCACATCTGAAAGAGACAGGTTATAGGCTGTGTGGGAGAATATAAACAAGTCATGGTAGTATTTGCGTGACCGAGGTATAAATAGAAGTTGGCTGGTTTTCCTCAAGTATTTGCACATTCCTTACATTGCAAAACAGAAATAGCAACCAAAAAACCCAACTTCATTTCAAGAACGGCAAAGAGCCAATCTCTGCCCTACCAGCCATTGCTAGATTATAGCAGGACCAGTCTCCAGCGAGTAAGGGACAGAGATGCCAGGAGTATTTGCAGCAAAGAGGCAAAGAATGAAAGCAAGCTCCAGCTGGGAGGAGCCTCAAGGGAAGCTGAGCTAGAACCAATACTGCAAAGGAGGAAATACAACAACAAGCCCAGACATTTGTCAGGGAAAAGGCTGCAGGCATCTCTGTGCAGCTGGACTTTTGTTAGGCGGAAACTGTCAGATGCAGTTCTGTGCTAGTTCTGTATCAGTTGACTGCTATTCTGCAGGACAATTCTGCTGGGGTATTTTTTTCTTGTGCTGCTATTCTGATGATTTTGTTTTTAAAAGGAAAGGGCACTTTCCATTTTTGCAACGTAAAAAAACCACCAACACTGTAGTCTGTACCAAGCAATATCAAGGGGTAGCAAAATACCTGACCACCAGCAAAGACTTCACTCGGACAGTTTATTCCAAGGGTTAATCTAGCAAAGAATGTTATACATGGTTTACTAAATCCTTTCAAAAAAATAAAATCACCATCTATGTTACAAGCAGAGCTTTACTTCATCCTGAAATTTGTAAGAATTGATAGTTCGCAAGAAAAAAGGTTCAGTGGCTTCAAATGGCTGTTAAAGGGCATTATTTCTGAGTGGACAGACAATATCTAAGGTCTGCAAAGCAAGAATCAAGAGCAGGAAGGATGAAAAGATACCAGATATGTATCAGAAGTGGTAACGCTTACTCAAATGAACCCTTGTAGTGTTATATGGAACAGACATTGCAGTGTTCACTAATTCATTAAGAAAGCTTCATGTCATAAATGAGCATTTGGCAGTTAATATTCTGAAGTCTGCATTTCCTGTTGTAGCAAAATCCAGTTAACTTGGTGTAAGTTTTACTAAAAGCCTCTGCAACTAGCCAAATTTAGGAAAAACTGGCACCCTTCCCTGCATAACAAGGCTCTAAGACATACACACTTATATTTTCTTTGTGCATATGGCTCTCACATTAAAAAGGTTTAGAAGTATTTAAGAGCTGCTGCTTACTGTAGAATTGAGCGTAGAGATTCTTCTGCTGTTGCCACGAGTCACTTGTTATCTTTTACAGTAACCACAAATTTTAGATCTCAATTTGGTTTTGCATAGATGATTTTGACTCAAAATCCTCTATGATAAAATGGTAAGTATCCAATCACTAAGGCATCTTTAGGTGACAAAGTACCAGTGTTTAGTGCTACAGCTGTGATGACTGCAATAGAAAAAAAGCCAGGTAAAATGCAATACCACCCAGCTTGGATCTTGCAGGAAACATGTTGCAGCCACTCCCAGCTGCTGTACTTTGTCTGGATTCCAGGATACTGCTGCCTGCTTTACTTGAACCAATTCCCTCCCTTCCCCAGCCCCAGCTCTGTCTTAAGCTGAAGAACAGAAGCACTGGCAGCACCAGTACAAGCTGCCAACTAACCATAATGGAACAAAAGCATGAGACACACTCATTCTTCTGGAGCTGACAAGTTGGGCTGGCCACTAGAAGTTCCCTGTTTTACACACTATGTTCTTAGCTGATCAAAATAAGCAGAGCCTGGATTTCCTCATAAAGGCAGAAGCTTCTGCTACTGCTTTGCTTGTGCCAACCCTGCTTGAACTTCAGTATACTTCTGACTTGAAAATAGTACCTGCAAGACAAAGCACACTCCAGTCCTTGCATCCCTGCATATATTTGCTGCAAGACTCTCTCCCTGCTCTGGGTGTTTTACATTTGTCACTCCTGCATTACTAGGCAGAGCTCCTCAAAGAAAAAGGATTCTTCATTTGCACAGGAAAAGCATGAACAGATACACTCACCTCTTAAGTGTATCTGACAAGACCTATGAAGAAGAATATTCTCTCCTCCAGAAGAATGAAATGTGAAGTTAATCTTAAGAAGATCACTACTTCCTAACGTTACTTCAGCTTAGAGTTAAAATCAGCCTAAAATACACTGTCCCAGTGTTGGGAAGAGGCAAAATAAACACGTAAGAGCACACATACCTACAGCATTTAGTTTTAAATCCTCTTCATTAATGTTTCCTCTCTCCCTGGAGCATCCATCCAGTAAATTACTGTTTTCTATGTTTGTATCATAATCATACTCTACCTCTGAGCCCCTGGTACTATGACAAAAATCTGAAGTATTCATCAGTTCCTTTCTGACTGAGCTAGTCCCTGTAAGATCCACTGAAGTTGATACCATTAGTTCAACAGCACCCACCTTAGTTCCAGGTTACCTCCACGTAAAATTCTGCAGCAACTTAATTGTTCTAATATGAAGGGTTTTTTTAAACTTAGTCAGCAATGACTTTTAGCCCTACGTTATTTAATTGGAATGGCTCCATAAAGTATGTGGCAGACTGCTCCTGCCTTCCATGACAAGTCTTACTTACCTTTAAGAACCTCCCTGAAATAAAGCATGAATATCAACCTGGATGGTTTTAAACTCGTTAATCCTAGAAAAGTGAAGACCTCTCTTCTCCTGCTTGCAGGCCTTGTTAATCCCCTGGTTAACAAATAATGAAACCTGCCTGGCTAATCTTAACAGGGCTATAACGATGAGCAAAAGGTACAACAGCCCATGAGGCAATGTAAAAATGAGTTGGAGAGATGCTCAGAATAGAAGAAAACCGAATTCTGAATGACGTGGGGTGGGGGAAAAAGAAAAAAAGAAGCTTTAGGCTGCAAAACTGTGACAACAATTCAGTGAAATCCACTTAGCATCCATTATAGGCAGCTTTCCTTTCCAAACTTACACTTTCAAAGCAAAACACTGACTTTCAGTTAAGGAATAGCACAGAAGCAACTCTTCAGGAAACGAGGCTGACCCTGCCACAGCGAGTTATAAATAGGGATTGTAATTTAGAACTGCAATTACATGGTGGTGGTGTTCTTAGTTTAGAAATCACTATGGTACAAAGAAAATGACACATTTGAGTACTCTAAACACCTGATATAGATTAAGCCTTGAAATACATACTGTAAAATGTGAATACATCCCTGAAATCAAAGCTTCTAGTTGAAAAAAACATCTTTTCTTCTCATAGGGAGAATTAGCTGTAGGGGTGAGAATTAGAAGAAGCGCAGATTTATGCAAATGGGTAAGACACATTCCTCTGAAAACTTGCTGGGAAGTCTTTTCACAGGCCCAAGCCACCTCACAGCATCAAAGATGATTTTAAAATAAAGCACTTCCCCCACCTCCCAGTGCAAAGACAGCAGATCCTGTAAGCCTAGAGTTTCAACTTTCAGCTAAGGCAAGATACATATGTAAACAGAGAGACTAATTCAGGCACTGGAGGGAAGACTAAGAATCATGAGACTAACAAAGACAGGGTAGTAAGAAGATCAGCTTACAGAAGCTGCCTTTATGTTCTCCAATATATGCCCATCCATACCAGTGTAAACCTGCAGTGCAATATTCACGTGCATGATTGAGGTGTTCTTCTTCCCAGAGGTTCCCAGAAAGAGATGTGCCTGTACGGGAGCAGGGTTGCTGCATGAGGCATGCAGCACATCCCAGGTTCCCTGTACTGCAGAACAGGGATGACAGTAAAGCCTTATCTGAATTACTCAGAAGTATATCAACTGAAAATCTAGCTTGCAAACCTACCTCTGCTGTGCTATCTGTAGAGCTTCAGAAGCATAAGCCTTTCCAGCACTTGCTATTCCCTCAAGCTGGGCAAGGCCAGACATCATTGATCGATATTAAGAGCATGTCTTACATGCACTGTCAAAACTGAGGCAACAAGAGCTCTCAGCTTAAGAAAACTTGCATATATGAGAACTTACAGCTAGAATATACCTTTTAAGAGTAAACATCTTTCTAGTAATTAACATCTCAAAGGCTAGTACAAAATGGCAGTAGCGTTAAAGCATTTTCTCCAGGTTTTAAAGGTGCTGTTTGCGTGACAGAGGTGGCCTTATTCAGCACAATAGCTGAATAACTACTCTTCCCTTTCACTTAAAAGAAGGGTGAGCTCAGGTTTAGAAAAGTATCCAAAAAACCAAACTTTGCTACCAGAGGTACAATAAGAGAATGTATATTTAGCATCTTTTAAGTGGAATTACATGTTGTATCTGTGGAAAACCCAAACTCCTATATTTAGCCTAGTCTACAGAAACAACTCTACCCACTAAAGCCTTAGCTGTGTCAGCAGAAGTAAAGGCAGAATACTTGCTGACTCGCTTTTAAATACCTTTTATAATGTCTATGGATTAGAAGTCTGAGCATTTTTGTCTTTTCTTAAGGAACACTTTTAAAAACTCTTTCATTTTAAGCTCTGCAATCCTACACATAAAGAAAAAGAGATGAAAAAAATCCCCAGTGTACCAGCAATAAGAATGTTAGGCCAATATAGTTAAAATCACCCACACAGCCATTTTCCTTCATGCAACCAGAGCTTGTGGTTTGGTAATTTTGTATTTCCTAATTTCAGTGGGTCAAAATATTACACCACTGCAGTTCATAGGTGAAGGGTTCTTCTATAGGTATTTCATGCTTATACAAGCTACTAACACTGTTCTTATAATAGCTATGTCCTAACACCCTCTATCACAAATAGAGTCATAAACTGTGATATTTGCTGCAATGATGAGTCTGAGAAGTAACAGATACTCAAAATCCTACTTACATGTAATAGCTGTGGCATAAAGACAGAACAGTAGACTAATTTATGATGTGCATTTCTAACACCAATCAACACACTTCTTATGAAAGATACTGAAATCACCAGTTAAACATAGAAGCTTTCGGTTTAAGACTTGCCTTTTAAAGGTTTATCCATATTTGCCTTCTGATTTCACAGAATATTTGGGTTTGAGAATAAGCCATCTCTTGAACAGAAGTATATTAAGAACAGTCAAACGTTTAAGAACATTATTTGTAAGTTCTGTCTCTGAAAACTATGCACCAACCTTGCAAATCTTCTGTCTCAGGTACTGTTTTGTCCGCAGCCGTACTATCTGGTTGGGATGATGCTACAGATTCTGTTAAGAGTGACTGACTTGACACAGGGCTGGAAGGTAAAAGAAAAAGTTTATGACTTTTGAGGTATGTCCAGCATTCCTGAAAGAAATACATTATATTGTTTTTCTTAATGAAAGAGCATGCAAAAGCTTTTCACACTAAAGTTGTTTCTGTCACCATTTAAAAATGCCACAGTATCTAAGATTACTGAAGAACATGAACTGACGAAAAAGTTACATATTTTTGTGTTCATGTTTAATGCAATAAATCAGCTGTAAAAAGGGAAAAAATATTTCGGGGTAGTTTGGCATACCATCCTTCCACACAGAAACAACAATTCAGTATGTGAGGATTTTTATAACATAAGTCAGCAGGATAATTGTAGAGGAGCTACTTTTGGTGTTCTAGTGATATGAACAAGAAAATTGCAGCATGTCAATGTTTCCAGTAATAAAGCATCTGCAGCTGTACACAGAACTCCTTAGGTTTTCACAGTTTAAAGTGGTGCTGGCCAAAATTCCCAACCCTGTCAGCCGTGCTGCTAAAATCACAGCAGGGCTAGAAACTCACAGATGAATACCTTGGACAGTTATGGGAGAGAGGTTCAATATTAGCAGTCACTCACAGCCACACTGTTCACGCAGCAGCTCTACTATGGAAGAAGAGAGAACTGAAGTCCCAAGCGAGAGGTAGCACTACCCCATTTGCCCTATCTGTCTCTCCCTTTCCACTTAGAGGTTCACTCCAAATCCAAGAAATTGGATTATCTAACAGCTCATGAACCAAAGCCCTACCAGTAATCCACAACACAACCAAGGCATTAGAGTTGAAATATTAATTGCCAAGAATTGCATGTGGATCTTCAACTGCAAGTTTGGTCACCTAAAAAAGGGCATTGTCAATCTACTAGGTATTTTCTCAGCGTATCGTAACTCTGAGGTATTATCAGAGACTGAAGTTGAATCCCTGCTTTTACACTGGAAAAAAGAACAAGTTAAACTCACACTTCAAAAGCATCAGTATAAGAGCAACCATCCACTCCTTTCTCCTGTAACCAGTAATCAAGCTAGTGATCAAAGAGAGACTTTTTTTTCCACTTTCATGCTACTAAAGATTGTGTGAGAAGAACCCAAGGCACTGTAATTGGTTCACCTCTGTGCACTGAGCTGGATCGTTTTGTTTTCTGCACATAGCAGAATAGTTGTATCAGGGTAAGACACCTATTTTCTACCCCAGTCAGAAATCCCAGAATGGCAAGACCAAATACAGCACCAAGCATGGCACTCTCAGTTCATATGCAGGATCCAAGCATAAGATAACACCTCCTCTAAAAAGCTAAGGAGCAGAAAACAGTCTGAAAAGAACTGGCCAACAATAATTGATGAAATCACCCTCAGCTTGTGCTTTACTGCACTGTAACTTCTAAAGGAAAGTTAGAATGAGTATTACTACAAGTTAGCTTCCATAATATAAACACACTAACATTTTCCACTCAATTTCCAAAACTGAAATGCAGCCTCTAAATATAAACAAATATTTAGCTTTTACAAGTGAAAAGCACTTAGTAAGTCTGAGTGATTTACAAGAGGACATTATGTCTCGTTGAATAATCCAGTTGGAAATTGTTTAATCAGAAATCAGTTCCGTTGCACAACTTACAGTAAGATTCAGATATATCTTTTCCCTGTTCTAGTACACACTCTTCGCAAAGCAACTCATTTGTTAACACGTTATCATACATTTATTTATGAGAACTCTAGAAAACAGCTTTCTGCCATTTTACAAAATCCCCACATTTCTAAGATAGAAAGAGCTCTCCTTTAGTAAAGGTACAGCCAACTGCACATTGTGGACTCAGAAGACCAGCCAGACAAGTCTCTAGAGAACAGCACGAAGCTGGCATCTCTCCTGTTTGAGGCTAAATTCTAAAGACAAATTTGCATTTGAATGCAATATGTAGCTAACAGATCAGCTACTATTTACTGCGAGATCCCACACTTTAAAGTTAGCAGTTAAATCTTACACATTTTCCTAATTCAGGCCCTAGTATTTAATTACGCAGTATCACTACACTTCATTTAATCACCCTTATACGGGTTTCTACTTCAAAGCCCAGAAGAGGGAAACAGCTTACCTTGGCTGCATGGATGTCAATGGAGTCGATGTAGATTCTAAAGTTGACTGAGTTTCCTGGGTGCTGCCTTCTGTGCACTGAACTGGTAAGGACTCAGTTATACTACTGACAGAGGGTGCTGGAAGGAAGATACTAATGTAAATGTGTTACACTACTTCCTGGGATTACAGAAGTTATACTATGCAATTATTCTTCAACCCCCATGACACAGAAGTAATTATGTTTGGCTATATTTTGATCATGTTCCAGCCCCATGCCCCCAGAAGTTACACAACACAATTTTGAAGGTGGAGCTTTCAAATAGTTACTATTTTGTGAAATCAAAGCATCGAGCAACAGCTTTCTCAGCATGAACTGCAGTATTCTGACATAAGCTTGGGTTTTGTTTAAAAAAAAAAAGAAAAAAATCAAAATGGATCTGTGAGAAACAGCAGAGTAGCACCCTAATGTCAACTTAGGATCCGTTTTGAGGTTATAGAACCTAGATTCGCAGGTTTCAATGGAAGCTATTACTTCAAATGCTCCATCCCTGGCAACGTTCAAGGCCAGGCTAGACAGAGCCTTGGGTGACATGGTCTAATGTGAGGCACCCCTGCGCATGGCAGGGGGTTGGAACTGGATGACCTTAAGGTCCTTTCTAACCCAAACCGTTCTATGATTCTGTGATATGCCAAAGAGCACCCTGGACTCTGTGCTGTCAGTATTCAGACAAGCCAGAAGAGACATTTTAGCAGCTCCAGGGAAGCATTCCCTAACCCTCTTACCCCCAGAACAACACTAAGTTGAAAACACTGGGGCGAACAGAACAGAGAAAGGTTTCCTCTTTGAGGGCACTACCATTAATTTAAAAGGGGAAGAGCCCTCTAGCTTTTTCTATAGAGTGAATGTATGAGGACAGCACTTACTTCAATGGGAAATCTGCTTTGCAGGAAAGACCACAAGTACATGGAACACTGGGCCAAAAGGAACAAAAAGGATCTCTTCCTTAAGTTAAGGGCAACTATTCTTAAAAAGCATCTACAGGTTAATCCTTCAGCATCAGACTGCAGAAGTTAAATACTGGTATTTTAAATGCTTTTCACAAACATTTCCCAAGCTAAATGTTATCTCTGTCAGTAATTTCAGGAAAAATATGTTGGTGTAGTAATTTTTACTGCATTTTTATATCTTCAAATTGCTAATACCTTCTGTATTAATCTGAGTATTTCCGAGAGTCTACTTCTGAGCAGATTAATCATAGCACAATTATATCATAAGCACTTCATCCAAGCTCATTCCATAACGTCGGAATAAAACAGTTTGCACTAATGCTCCTGTATTTTTAGTATTTGGACACGATCAGGAAGCAAGTTGCCATCTACTGTGTCATTTGGAGTTGTTCAAACAGATGTATGTTACCATTACTTACCAGGAGGGCTAATTCTACCATTACTGTTCTGCCTTTGAAGGTGTTCTTTGTAGCACACTGAACACATGCCATTTGTACGAGGATTCCCATAAAATCCGCAACCAGTGGAACAAAGCATAGGCACTTGGCTACGGTTAGTTTCTTGAGCCATTTTCCCTTCTTCTACAAACCTGAAATTGAAACATACAACCCAGTATTTAGCGACCTGAGAAAACCCTTCTTCTAGAGTTGACATTTGAAAATGGAGAGTTTCCTGTAGTTCAGCAAGAAAATCTTTTAGAAAAGCATCCTATTTCAGATAACTCAATGCCTTTTCCTAAAATAAAAATCCGTAAGGTCTGCTCAATAATACAGAAAGAGCCATATGTATGATTTACATGACCCATATAGACAGACCCTTCCAGCCCCACCATTTTCTGGTCAACATAGAGCCCACAAAGAAAAGTTATTTTACAAAATAATAATGGAAATATTATTGCTTCTAGCAGTAAGAGAAGGGAAGGTAGGGGAGGGGGACAGTTATGCTGAACCCTTCTTGAAACATAAACACCTGATACTGTGAATGAGTACTATAGAACGAAAAGACAAGCATGGTACCACATGCTTACTTACTGTGTAATAGTTATTATTAACAACAGTCACATGAATTCACAAGTTACTGCTTAGTCACCACATCATTAGTGAAGGACAACACAACTACCTACCACAAAACCCAAATTATGATTTTTCACATGAAAAAAAGAAAAATCACCTTTTCAGTCAAGTATTACACTATGCACATATACCTCCTATGTATCACTTGTGTGAAAGGAGATGCAAGGCAACTCTGAAGATCTCTAGATTTAGTTTTCTTTGTAAAAGCTCTGCAAACCTCCTTAATACAAAAAAAGACGAAAAATGACCATATGTGACAGTATTCTGAGTCCCCAAACTGCTCTCAAATGGTCTCACCTGTACATGAGTTATGGACATGTTAATCAGCGAGATAAAAATTAATTTTCCATTATTACCCCCCCCCATTCTTGCCCTTTTTTGTATCGGTTTTGAAAGGAAAAAAAAATCCCTTCTCATTAAGAAACCCAAGTATCTCAAGGTATCAATTATTTCATTTAAGATGAACTTAGGCCTACCATTTTATACTTCCTGATTAAAAGTTAGGCTGAAGCATGGACTACTCCTCACTTGTGTACAGTTCTGGTGTCCTCAACATAAAAAGGACATGGAGCTGCTGGAGCAAGTCCAGAGGAGGCCACAAGGATGATAAGAGGACTGGAGCACCTCCTGTATGAAGACAGGCTGAGAAAGTTGGGGCTGTTCAGCCTGGAAAAGAGAAGCTGCGTGGAGACCTCATAGCAGCTTCCAGTGTCTGAAAGGGGCCTACAAGGATGCTGGGGAGGGACTCTTGATTAGGGACTGTAGCGATAGGAACAGGAGTGATGGGTTCAAACTTAAACAGGGAAAGTTTAGGTTAGCTGTAAGGAAGAAGTTCTTCACAGTGAGGGTGGTGAGGCACTGGAACGGGTTGCCCAAGGAAGTTGTGAATGCTCCAACCCTGGCAGTGTTCAAGGCCAGGCTGGATGGAGCCTTGGGCAACATGGTTTAGTGCAAGGTGTCCTTGCCATGGCAAGAGGTTGGAACTAGATGATCTTAAGGTTCTTTCCAACCCAAACTGTTCTATGATTCCATGATTTTAATACTTGCTAGTCAGACCAAAGATAAGCAATATTACTAAAATAATAAAATCTTCAAAGTATCAGTATATATTTTAAAAGCAAAGAAAAGCCAGAGGTGGAGGGGTTTTAAGATATTTGAATACTTCAACTACCAAATTACAGAATTAGATTAAACCACAGGAAGAAATACACCAGAGTAAAAAGATTCCCTTTTACATAAGATGTTTTTGAAGCCACATACAAACAAGTTTTCCATTATTTTGGTTCTATACAAATATCCTCCTCTCTTTTCACACCCACATGCATTGCTTTTTGTTTTTATTTCCCCGAAGTATATGAAATTGATACCTCAAAAGCAAATCTCTGGGTTGCAAAGCTTACAGCAAAACAATAATGACAGTCGAGTCCTCTGTTCACAGCAGTAAGGTACTCTAAGGATGAGAAAGTATTCAAGATACAAAGATGTACAGGCAGGAAGACAAAATAAAAATCCCTGATAGTATCTTACTCAGTTTCAACCTGCAATTAAGCTTATTTCAGCTGTTTGACTGCACTCCCCCACCCCAATATAGAAGCATTTGCTTTCCACATACAAAGCCCCCATTGACCTCAAACGACAGCTAAATTTGATTTTGCTGAAGTACTGTACTTGTAGCTGAAAGAGCACTTTCATTCCTGCCTTTCTCCAGACAGCCTTTAGAATTCAACTGCAAGTAGCGCAAGTGGGAATTCAGTTCTTATGCTGGGCCCAACACTCAGCAGAAGAGTGTAAGCGAACGTGAGTTTTCTGTGCTTTGCTAACTCAAACCCATTTAAAGATTAAACCTTACGCAAGTCACTCTTGGCATAGAATGTTTAAGATTGAAAGGCTAATTTAAAAACATTGGACAGAATATTTCATAAGAGCTAACAGATTCAGTGCCACAATACAAATATTAATCCTTTTAATTTCAAGCAGTAGCACAATAAATGAGCGTTATCACACAAACTTTCAAAATTAAACCTGATGGCTTTTCTGGTCAATAGTTAGCTTCAAGCAGCACACAGGAACTCAACAACAGCACCAGTTACTGCTAATTTTGTTAATCCCCAACACAACCATTGCTGAAGGACGAGGTGCTAATGCAATCACAGCACAGCAATTTCTAACATGAATGTAAAAAAGTCTGCTCTGATTCAATAAACAAATTGTGAAAGGTGCACAAAGATGCCCAGAAGAAAAACAAGAATAGCTGGACCGAATTCCAGCTAAGCCAGTTCCCAAGTTCATTAACCAGTGGATCCTGCCACCAGCCAAAGCACAAGCCACTGGCATGAGGTTCCAGAATACTTAAATCTCCAAGGGGAAGTGCCAGGGATTCTTCTGAAGAGTTTTAATAAAAGCCACAGGAAGCGGAAGATCCTTCATTGGTTGCTAATATTTGGGGAATAAAATGGAGAAGAGATAGGATCAAACTGATGCAATGTTATGAAGGCAAATGAGAAAGAAGTTAAAACACAAGTATAATGGTGTGATGTACTTGGAAGAGGGCAATCACATACCATCCCCACACCATCTCCAGGGTGAGCTGGACACTCACCCACCCAACTAGACCCCTGAGCCACCAAAAAAACCCACCAGGAAGCAAAGGACCATCACCACCATAAAGTTTTCCAACAGTTCACTGAGCTCAATCAGTTCACACGCAGACAGAGAAGCAAAAAAGAAAAAAAAAAAAAGCACAATACAAAGGGGAAAAACTTTGGAACTGATCCAAGGGATGACAGATGTGACGAAGAGGAGGGACAACACACACTTTGGCAGCTGCTGAGACGGTTGAACTGATCTATTTGAACCCTAAAGCCACAGATTGCCAAACCAGTATAAGCAGCTCTTGCTCCCCAGCTTCTCACCCCCTCTCCCATGTGTTCCCTTCCTCTCAGTGCTCACGTGCACTGAGATGAATGAAGGAAGTGATCAAACTTGGAAAACCAACCACTCCATCTTCTGCCAATTAGTTTTAACACAGACTGCCTTCCGAGCTTGTGTTCGTCACACGTGCTGTTTGGGCATGAGAGAAGGTCTAGCCGAAGACACGTGTGGAACCACTTGTTTCAGCAGCAGAGCAGGCTTAAAGCATTAGCCTAGCTTAAAACAGGCATTGAAAATGTAAGGGAAGAGATCCAAGTGCTGGCGGTTCCTGTCACTGCACTTCAGACATACCTCTCCTGTACAGATTCATACTGCATGTGGGCAAAGGCCAAGATGACAGAGCGCTGTGCCTCAGGGACTTTCCTTCCTCACTGCTGGGGCAGGAGTCAAAACAGCCACAAGCACAGCAGCCGGACCCTGTCCCTATCTCAGCGAACATGTACAGTAAGAGATCACTGAACAGATGTTTCAGGGGGAGGGAAGACCTCTTCTCACCCCAGTTCTTGGCCCAGCTTCACATGGTTTTTGTTTCAAAACCGTCCATAATTCCTCACGCAGGAAGACCTTTAGTATTGCTGAGCCAGTAATGGTGGGCTGTCACTGAAATTGCAGCACTGTGAAAGGGGTGAGCCTGTTCCCACAGCCCCATCCCCTGCTGCACACCCCCACCTCATCCTTGAGGAGTTCATGATCAGATCAGTTCATCCATCTGATGGAAAAAACAGGAGTATTTATTCTGGTGGACTGGAGAGCTTGCTGAGCTGACAGAGATCAACTCTAGACAACTGACATACAGTGCAAAAGGAACTGACAAGGCTAAAGATAGGATGACCCTTTTCAGGGGCAGCTAGCCCTTGCCGAGCATCACTGTAAAGTATATTCCAAGTGCATACCCTATCAAGGTTTCAAAACTGGTCTCCTAACTCAGCTGCAGTACAAAACTTAAAGCAGCTTCATAGCTGAAGTGACAGCAAGGTCTTGAGATCATCATGGCTACATGTATGTCCCACTCAGTTTGAGGTGTGACAGGATAAACGTGGAGCTTGTAAAGCTACCGCAAATACCTCTGGGTTCTGCCTGCTCCCCCCAAGCTGTGCTTGCACAACGTTCATAGGGTCACCCTGAACACAGAACTGATTCATCTTAAAAAAGTAAAAAATACACACAGCCAAACTCTTAACAATATTTTAAGCATGTTCCTTGCTTTGCTTTACAGTATAGTCATATAACCAGTTGTACGAGCACTAATAAGGAAGCAAACCAGAGGGAGTGCAAGAGCCTTCCACCACACACACTCATTTTGTTGATTCCAAGAACAGGCTTTTTGTATTAGCTAAAAATTGCTAAGCTTAAACCAAAATTACCTCTGAAATTTTCTTCTCAAAACCATTTACTGCCACTAGAAGCATGGCAGTCTGCAGAGCTGTGTGCTAAGTCCTCTTTTCCTACAGATATGGTGCTTCAAGCCTACCCATTCCTGTTACTCCTGTCATACCTACAACTTCATGCATCTCTAAGGCCTGCTTACTGCTGTTGCTACAGGTCTTACCATTCCCCACTCACCAGTGCACACCCTCAGAGA